ATGACATTGCAAACCGAGAAGGTACATCCAGTGATGTCGGGGAAGAAGAGCGGGACTCTGAGATAGAAGATGAAATAGCAGACGAGATTGCAAAGGTTGATGCTTTGTCGGCTTATGACATCAATCTTGACAAGGAAATTGAAGCTATAAATGAGTACCTGGCCATGCTGGATGCATCCCAGGAGTCTGGTTGAAGAGCGGATCGTACTGGAGAAAAGTTGTAGATAACGAATAATAATAATTCAACCGGGTTATTGCATGGCCAATCTGGGTTGGTATGCTTGATACCTTACTTAGTAGGTTTAGTAGGATTTGCTATGCAGAAACTGATTAATGAGAGCGATATTATCTAGTTTCTCCTTGGTTAGGAATTTTAATAAATGTTCGGGATTTTTTAAAGCTGCTTGACCTTTTTTGTCCGTAACATTAAAGGTGCTAATCTCTAAAATACTTCTGGTTAAAAAACCAACCAAATCCAGCCTACGGGAAATTTGCCCAATAAAACTCTAGTCCAATATCACTCGAGGATACTATGCGCCTGAAGCGTGATTGGCTAAGTGGTGAAAGGAGTAGCTGAAAGCAGCTGAAGCGGGAAACGAGAGCTTGAAGTGGTAAGTAAGAGCTGGGAGCGGTAACTTAAAATAAAATTTTATATTTGAAGAAAAAAGTTTGAAACTAATTTATTTGAAATTAAAACACATATTGAAAGCTAAGAAACTTTTATAAAAATAAGTTTGAAACAAAATAACAACCACATATAATCTATCTACCGTTTCTACATATTTGCTATGGAGTTGACTTTGATACACTACCCCAACTATACAGTTTCTTCGGTATACACCCTAAACTTTTTGTCTCTTTTTTATACACCATAAATAAATTTTTTCTCTAATAAACATCACAAACTATACTTTCTCTTCTAATTGCAACATAGCGATTCTAAATTATGATTAGATTTACTAAACCGGTAATCGCGTTAAGAAAACCACGATTAGCTTAAATGAACCCAAAAACTACAATTGTTTTTTTGCTGTAAAATAAAAGAGAACCCAAAAACCACGATTAGCTTAAATGAACCCAAAAACCCGTTTCTAGTTTGTATAGTAATTCTTTGTGTTTGTGTTTCTTTTTCAGGCTGTGTCATCATCGTCTCAAGTACCGGATACAATCTCTCAACCGCAACCATCACAAACAACCCCGACATGGTGATTTATGAGTGAAGTTTAATAGTGCTATCAACGTGGTCTTTTTAGTTTAGTTTTGCAAACATGAATGGTTTGTTTTGGAGTTTTTGTTTTGAAGTTTTTGTGATCTTGGTGATAGTTTTTATTTCTTGAAACAATGAGAATTTGTTAGCTATAAATTTTAATATTAGATTAATAGATTTCTTTTATCTTGCAAAGAAACAACAAAAGAATACGTTGAAGAAATTCTAAATAAAAGTGGGGATTTTTGATATGAAGAAGATGAAGATGGGTGGTTAACGTGGGTTTTTTCTTTTTTTCTTTTTTTACGGCAAAAAAGGATAAATAAATTGTAGTTTTTGGGTTTACTTAAGCTAATCTTGGTTTTTGAAACGCAATTACCAGTTTAATAAATTTAATCACAATTTAGAATCGCTATGTTGCAATTAAAAGAGAAAGTATAGTTTGTGAAGTTTAATAGAGAAATAAATTGTTTATGGTGTATAAAAAAGAGACAAAAAGTTCAGGGTGTACACCGAAGAAACGGTATCGTTGGGGTAGTGTATCAGAGTCAACCCTTTGCTCTGCAATGTTGTTCTGAATTAGGGATTGACCCGCGGTACACTGCGAGACGATTTGTTTTATAAAATTTGTGATTTTTAAAATTTTATGATTATGTATTATATATAAAAGTTTGTAAATTGTATCATTAAGACATTTATATTTTATAGTTTACAATTGTCATTAAGTAACGGTATACTGCGGAACAACTTTTGTTTTATACAATCTTAACTAAATTTGGCTAATTCGATATGTCTAATATTGGTAGTGTTAAAAATGAGGATTTAATCCGTATTGAAGTGGCGGGTTAATAATATTTTAAATTTTTACTAATGTTAATTCAAATCCGTCCTATCATATAACCCCGTCCAGCAATATAACCCGTCCCGTGTTATTTTAATTTTTTATATGTTCAAATATTCATGATATCATAAAAAATTTATTGATTCTAAATATATCATAATTTTTTTTAAAAGTTTAAATTTACTATATACGGTACAAATAAATAGTTTAACTAAAAACCGAATTAAACCGTATACAAACTTTTAAATTTGGATGCTTCTTAAGTTAAGTTTCATGCTCATTCAGATTTGGATTCATTTTGACCCTATTATAATATGTCTATGAATCAATGTCTAAACATTTTAGCTGATGTGAGAGGTTAAACACACAATTTTCATTAATTGAGTAATATAAGTCCGTTTTTAAATTCCAAATCACAATATATGTAAGCTAGTTATAAAGATTTTCTCAGAAAATCATGCAATGTGAATTTGAATTATTAATTGAGAAAGTGGAATAGAAGAAATGACAAGTAAGGTGAAAGTACTCCAGGGAGACGGGTGTGACACCTATCTCTTTGATTTGTTCTTGCGTTCTTACTTGTTTTGCTTTAGTTATTTATTTGCTATTTTCGTTTGTGACAAAACCCAAAAACGCCTCTTTTATATTATAATCCTAGCCTTATTTTCTTCTAACGGATTAGTAGCACAACGCCCTCTCTGTGTGGGATTCGATCCTTAAATACTATACACAAAAAGTTGTACACTTGCAGCTTTTTTTTTTTTTTTTTTTTTTTTGTCATCTGGATTTGTATTGATAATGGATGTTACAACAAAAGCCTTACAGAAATACACAGGCCATAAGGAAAGTGTTACAAGTAAATACACTAACCACCAAAAAATGAGACTAACTAAAAGTCAGCTTAGTAGTCAAAGGGAGACAAAACACAGAAACAGCTTGGACAGAGGTCGACCCTTTCTCATTCTCAAACAAATCACTAAGCCACCCCGGAGCTCCATTAGCAACATAGGATTGTCCAAATGCTTCCAAAGAAGCACTTCGCGCAATGAGAAAAACACCTCTATTAGCTGCTGGGTCTTCACAAATTAATCTCCAGTCATTCAAAAAGTTCAAACGTAACATAATCTCATAATAAAGATGTCTGTAATAGGGCCATGCTTTCGGTCTCTCCACCATCTTTACCATCTTGGAATCATCCAGCGCGAAAATCACCTTGTTCAAGTTGTGGCTGCAGATACTATCAATGCTCCATAGGATGCATTTAGTTCTCGCCTCCTCCCGGCTGTTCAAATTAGGGAAGGATCTTCTACTGTGAATCAACACAGAGCCCATGGAGTCCCTAAGTACCCAAGCACATCCTCCAACATTGGTGTATTTATCCCAGTAGCTGCTCATATTGCACTTCACCCAGGATTGGGGGGAGGTTTCCATGTCTGATGATCAACAATCTCTTCTCTGTCCATAACCCTCTCATCTTCCTGTTCTTGGATTTGAGATAAAAACCAAAACTCAGCATCATCCTTAGTCTCAGCAATAGAGTCCAAAGGAGATTAAAACTTCCCCTCAAAACAAAAGGAGTTCCTATTCTTCCAAATTCTCCAAAAGATCCATTTTGCTCATTTTGATCAGATAATTCAGGTTGGAGTGGAACGACAATTCATCAAAACCTAAGGGAGGATTAGGAACAAGAGACAGAGCCCACACCTGTCTTGCTAGTGAGCAAGTGAACAAGACATGATTGATTGATTCCATATCCCCACCGCACAGTTGACACCTGTTATCTCTGTCCATTCCTCTAATTGCAAACAACTGTGCCACTGGCAAGGCATCACTAGAAGCCCTCCAAAGAAACAGTCTCAATTTCGGCACCGTTGGAATAGACCATATCTGTTTCTTCAAACCATTCAGAGACGGCTGACATAAGGCTTCAAACAGAAGCTCCGGCTTATTAAGTCTACAGGCCATCCAATATCCTGATCTAACCGAGTACTCCCCACTTTTATTATGCTCCCAGCACCAGAAGTCATTCTGATTTACCACATGTTTATGAACCAGAATCCTCACCACATCTTGAGGGAAAAAAAGATCATGAAGAGTGTTTAAATTCCAGCACCTGTTAGGCTTATCAATCAAAGCACTTACTCTCAAACCCGGGTCAAAAAAGATTTGTCTCCTATACGGTGCTCTCCACTCTTGATCATACACCCATGGGTCAATCCATACTCTAAGAGAGTCACCATTCCCAACCTGCTTTCTTATACCCTAAGAGAGAAGATTCCTACCCCATAATACACTTCTCCACGCATAAGAGGGTCTGTCACCTAAGGTTGCCTCCAGGAATTCCTCATCCGGGAAATATCTACTCTTTAGGAACTGTGCAAACAAAGAATCAGGGTCCTGTAGAATCCTCCAAGCCTGTTTGGCAAGGAGAGCTTGATTAAAACATTCCAAATCCTTAAATCCCAAACCACCATTATCTTTAGACAAACACATCTTTTCCCAGCTCACCCAATGCATATACCTCTTGTGTTCAAATGAACTCCACCAAAAGTTGGACATTGCACTAGTGATGTTATCAATGGTAGTCTTTGTCATTTTGAAGCATGACATAGCATAAACGGGCATTGCCATTGCTACAGCTTTCAAAAGTACTTCTTTGCCTCCAAGTGAAAGGGATCTAGCAAACCATCCACTCAGTCTTTTCTTGAGCCTGTCTTTAATATATCCAAGAAGCTCAACCTTAGACCCACTGAAGCATTCAGGGAGTCCCAGGTAAGTACCAGCTCCTCCTTCAGCATAAATCTCAAAAACGTTTTGTAGCTCAGTCTTCCTCTGAACCTCAACTCTACTTCCAAAGGTAATAGACGATTTCAGGAGATTTATGGTGTAACGCCCGTCTCCCGGGAAATAGATTTTTATCGGACATAAAAATATATGTATGGAGTTATATACATATATATATATATATATATATATATATATATACATCAAAAACGTCTTTGATCCGAATAAATCTGTAGGATTGTGTTTCTCTCTTTTGGGAATCAATCTGGGGTGTTTCGGGAATGGAGTTTTCTCGGAAACGGAAAGTATGTCGCGTTTATGAGCCTTAGACAAGTCTTGAAAATTAATTATTTGGTGAAAAATAATTAATTTAGATTTGTTCAGGGGGTGTCATAATTCGTTTCGAAAGTTGTCAGTTTCAGGAAACGGAACTGTAAAATTGCGGGGCTTTTTCTGAAAAAGGTTGGGGAAAAGTCTCTCCTTTTTGACTTTCTTTCCTTCTTTTCTTCTTCTTCTTTCACAATCATTGAGAACAAGAAACGCAAAAAAAATACAGAGGTTTTGTGCGTTGGAGAGAAAGAGAGAAAGAGAGAAAAGAAGAGAGGAGAAGAGAAGAGAAGAGAAGAGAAGAGAAGAGAAGAGAAGAGAAGAGAAGAGAAGCAGCAGAACGCGTTTTGGTAGAACAGAGGATCGACCTAGCAAATCGTCTCCTTTCTGGACGTAATTTTCAGGGATTGTAGGTAAGACTTATATCTAGTTGTAGCCGTTTGCGGATATTGATTCGAGTCAATATTCTAAGCGTTATCCCTGTTTTCGTGAGATCGTTTGTTTCAGACGCGATTTGGATCATCGCCTGTTCAAAAGACGATCGTGAGTGAACCGGTTATCTGATCGTTACGAAATTTGGTGGAATTGTAGGTATGCCTTAGATCTAGATGCGACTCTTTTCGGTTTTGGATTTGAGTTATTATTCTGAAAGTTATCCACGTTTTCGTGGGGTGCTCTGTTTCAGACGCGATTTGGGACCAGCGTGGGTTCAGGGTAGGATCGCGAGTTCATCTGTGAACGGATCATCACGAAACTTTGTGGGTAGCTTCAGGACATCTAGAGGCTTATTTTCACCGGAGCGATTTCGAAGTGAGCGGTTAGATTTTGTTGCACGAGCCAACCTTTGAGACAGACCGTTTCTGTTCTTTCCCAGTTTATGGGTTAAGTGTTGTTTTGGTTGTTGGGTTGGCTGTAGGGTGTGAGTTAGAGGAAGGGCGAGCTGTGGTTGGCGTGTGAGTGAGTCACGGTTGGGTTGCTGTTGTGGTTCTTGTCCAAAACTCGTTCCTTGTTTCGAGGTGAGTGCGTGACCATGAGCTTATCTAAGCGATTGGGGTTTTGTGACTTGTTTGTGTGATGTGTAGGTTGGATTTTTGATGGATCCAATAGTTTAAACCGTAAGATGGTTGTGTTATTGGATGATTGTCATTGGTTTGTTTGTTTTTCATGAATTATGTGTTGAGTTGCGATCTTCGTTGCTTGTGTGTATAGCTCGTAGATGGGAGGATCGCCTCACTAAGTATTTTGGTAATACTTACGCATCTCTGTGTGTTCTTGAGTTGCAGGTAAGGATAAAGTGTGAACGTGGAATCATGGCGATGAGGAGGAGGATGATCTAGGGTCTCGTCGTTGTTGTTGTATAATGTGGTTGTCGAGTCATAGTATTTATGTTTAATAACTCAAAAACGGTTTGTTTATGTGTGTTTAATTTTCGGATAATTTGTGTTTTATGGTTAAACCGGATTTATTTAATAAGTTAAGCGAATTGGGTTGCTTTGTTTAATTGTTGAATTAAATGGAAAATGGAGAAATAATTAATATTTATGGGAATATTAGTTATATTTATTAAAAAAAAAAAAAAAAAAACGGGTGCGGTCGTTTCATATGGTCTGGCCTGTAGCCTCTCCATAGCACTTTAAGATCCCTTTTAGAACCTCTCCTTGACCCTTATCAGCTTTACAAATAAAGAGGCTATCATCAGCAAACAAGAGGTGATGTATGGCTGGTCCTTGTGGGGAGAATCTGATTCCTTCAAGAATACCAATGGACTCTGCTCTATTCATCAGATGTGTAAGGCCTTCAGTACAAAGAACAAAGAGAAAAGGGGAAAGAGGGTCACTTTGTCTCAATCCTCTACCCGAAGTTATCATCCCATAGGGTTGGTCATTGATTAGGACCGAGTAGGTAACATAAGTTACACAAGCCATAATCCATTGGACCCATTTAGTGTGAAAGCCCAAAGCAACCAAGAGAGCCTCCAAATAATTCCACTCCACTCTATCATAGGCTTTGGACATGTCTGACTTGATTGCCATAAACTCAGGAGCAATTTTCCGGTGAGTCTTCAACACATGTACTACTTCATGTGCAATGATTATATTATCTGAGATCAGTCTGTCAGAAACAAAAGCTGACTGATTAGGAGAGACAATATCATTCAGCCAAGGTTTCAATCTTCTCACCAATACCTTGGAGATGATCTTGTACAGGACAGAACATAGACTGATAGGCCTGAGGTCAGCCATATGTTCAGAATTTTCCTTCTTTGGTATTAGGCAAAGCTGAGTATAATTCCATTCCTTTGGGAAAAGGCCAGTAAAGAAGAATTCTTGGACCTCCTTAGTGACCTGAGATCCAACAAGATCCCAGTACTTTTGAAAGAAAAACCCTGTAAAACCATCAACACCAGGGGCACTGGTAGCTTTAATCGCAAAGACTGCATCTTTAATTTCCTCTTTAGAGACTCTGTCCACCAACTCCTTATTCATAACCTCAGTAACTCTAGGCGGGAAGTCATGGAAAACCTCATGGAAATTACCCGGATCAGTGGAGGTGAAAAGATCCTGGAAATAGGACTCAGCCACTGCACCTTTGGAAGCACTATCCTTTTGAGGGTTTCCATTGACATCAAATAAGACTTCCACCGAGTTCTTCCTCCTAGTAGACTTCACAGACTCATGGAAATATTTGGTGTTTTTGTCCCCTCCATTGGCCCATTTTTCCCTTGACTTCTGACTCCAAAATATTTCCTCCTCTCTATAAGCCTTGCAGAGCAATTTCTTCAAGTTCTTGACATTCCAACCATTTGGAAAACTAGCAGACTGGGCATCCTCCAAATCAACCTGAAGCTGACCAATAAGAGTGGCTGAGTTCCCAATATTTTCTTTCTTCCACCTGCTGAGAGCTTTCCTGCAATTCACAAGCTTATCCGACACATGAGCCTCTCTTCTGAGATGGTTAGAATTCCATGCTTGGCTGATAGCTTCTCTGACCAGCGGTTTGTTAAAAATCCTCTTATCAAATCTAAAGCTCCCCCTATAAGCTTCCTTAGATGTAGTCAAACTGACCAACACTGGCCTGTGGTCTGAACCCCTTTTCTCTAAAAAGGTCTGATTCGCAGCCGGGAACATGGCTAGCCAAGCTTTGTTCCCAAAACATCTATCTAACTTACTTTGAATCCAAAAATGATGTCTCCTACCTCCCCAAGTGAAAGCATTCCCTTTGCTAGGCAGTCCAAACATTTGACAGGCATTCAACATGTCTTTGAAGGGGGTAAAGGAAGCATCACCTCTCAAGGGACCTCCCAGCTTTTCTCCATTATGGATGATGTCATTGAAATCACCCATCATGCACCACTTCTCCTTTCTGTTTAATCCAATTCTGCTAAGTCTCTCCCAAACCTTATCCCTACCACTCTGAACAGGATCACCATATACACAAGTAACATAGAACTCCACTGCCCCAAACTGTACAAAGCAATCAAGCAGATTTTTATCCACATATTTAAAATCCACATTGACACCCTTTTTCCAGAACAGCGCCACCCCTCCACTCAAACCAACAGGATTTACAGTGTAAACTCTCTCATAACCAAGCCATTCTTGTAAATCAACAACAACATTTCTACAATTCTTAGTCTCCATCAGGAACAAGATCTCAGGGAAGTGCTCTTTGCGCAACTCCATGAGACGAGGAATCGTCAGTTCTTGGAACCGTCCCAAGCCCTGGCAATTCCAGCTGATCATCGTCATTACAGAGTGGACGGTCCCTCATTTGGGACCACCTCTTGGTTGTTGCGCTTAGCGACTTTTGATGTAGACTTAGCCTCATCCGCAGCTTTCCTCTTTGAAATACTCACCTTTATAATCTCAGAAACTGAAACTTTACCTTCTCCATGCACTACACCCTTCACAATTGAACCTCCTCTTCTTCTGGTTTTGAATGGCCTTTTCCTGGGCTTACCATTCTTCAGAAAAACCCCGGAAAGACTGGCTCCAGAGGAACCAGTCTTAAATACCGTTGAGCATTCAAAAGAATGGAAAGTGGACTTAGGAATCTGACATCCTAAACCTTCCCCTTGCTGATACTCAGTGTTGGTATTTTCCATTCTCATATCCTTTAGCATATCCTTTCCTTCTTTAGAAGCACTCTTCCCTTGAACAGGCATCTAAGGCAACCATCTCTCTTACTTGTCTATAAGGGACATTTGTTCATAATCAAACACTAACCCTTTCCCTTTATCCAACTCTGAAGACACAATTAGAGGAGTTTCCAGCCTCAGCATAGTTTTTTGACCTATTGGATCATTCTTCAGGTCCAAAAGAGATTGTTTGATCCTTGCCTCTCTTGCAATTCTTTCAGCTCCTTCCGCCACTTGAAGATATTGTCTCATACCATCAATTACCTCTTTTGCAATCCGAGGCCTTCCCGTGGCTGGATTAATGCCCACCTGATTCTCTTCCACTACACCAAATAATGGATCCGATTCTGTGATGACTTTGATTTTCTCAATTGAAATACCTTTCCCTTTCTGTTTAGCAGCCAATCGATACTCTTCTTTATTCTTCAACCACAAAGGACAGCGCTCTTGTTCATGTGTCAGTCTCTGGCACGTGAAACATCTCTTATGTACCCTTTCAAAATCAAACCGAATGCAGACCGCCACTCCTTTAAAGTTCACCACTTTCTTTCTTTTCAATGGTTTCGAAACATCAAAGTTAATCTTTACCCTCACAAAATCTTGGTTTTGAGATCTGTCAGGATCTAAAACAACTTCCTTCACTTCACCCACCAATTCCCCCAAGGTAGAAATAGCTTGAGCCGTGTAATGATTCACCGGGATGTTGCGGATCTGAATCCAAACAGGCATGAACTGTAGGTAGTCCACCGGAGGGTTCTCTTTCCATCTATCAATTACAAAGGACCATTCATTGTAAGTATGAGCTCCCTTTGCTAAGATTGCTTCCATATCATGAGCATATTTGAAAATAAATTGAAACTTCTCCTTAGTCAAAGCCACTCCTCTGACTCTTCCTATCATTTGCCATTTCCTCGGCATATCAAGAATAAGACTTGACATCTTCTGACACTCCGGGTTCAAAAGCTGACCCAGAATACTCTGCACATTCTTCTCACTGGAACAGAACTCCGGTAGATCCGACATATCAAACGGTGTATCTTCTTCCTCTAAACTCATCGCCATCAACGCTCTATCAATACTGGACGACATCTCTACGTTTATCTCCCCAAAAGACCGATGATCCAAATTCTAAGACACAGATCTGGAAAACAGAGATGAACCATAGAAGAAGGAGGCAAAAACACTTTTTCCAAAAAGAAAAGACACGAATTAGGTTAAAATTCACTCTAGGTAGCTTTAGTGATGACTATTCGGATTTGATACCGAGACAAAAGCTCTACAACACTTTAGACTGAAAGCCTCTAAAGCAATGAGATAGTTCTAAGCCCAAAAGAGGGAGTTCAGGGATTCTTACTTAATAGCTTGGTGTGCACTTGCAACTTTACATTGTGTTTTTTGAGGTAAAATTTTTACACACTACAAAATACAATCGTTCCAAAAAAAAACTCTACTCTTTCTCCTTACTATAGCAAATACATATCTAGATCCGTTTTTTCTTTTTGTCGATTGATCTTCATCGTGAGAGTGTAAGTCGTTCGGCGAAGTGGGAGTAGCAATCACCCTTTCTTTTCCTACAGCAGTGATGAGGTGTGGTTGGATCTGAATCTCGATGCAAGTTAGTGGCCAATCTCACGTCGGTCAAAAGTGACTCCTTCTCTGATTCCTTGCTCGTTGAGGACAAAGGTGGAAGTGTGGAGTAGTTCTCGCAGCTCGGCGGCTAGTGATTGAAGCTCTGACTTGTGATGGAAGTTGATGTGAAGATCAGTGAGTTTCACTATTTTCGAAGAGATTGAGCCACCGTCTTTATCTATTTGCCTAGATTTGGTTTTCTCCTCTACGGATTTAAAGATTGTACTATATAGTCGAGGTCGATGGTAATTCACATTGGAGGTGAGTGTTTGATTAGTGTTTGACTTTCGAAACCTCATCCCGGCAGTTGAGGGATGAGGTTTCGAAAGTCTCAGATATGACGTATTTCGGAAAGAAGTGCTCCGGGTTTTGGCTTGATGTTGTCTTAGGTTTGAGGTTGGATCAGCTAACTCCGGTCAAGAGCTCGTCATCGGCATCTCTCCTGCAAAGGGGTCTCTCTTATTTGCGCCAATGTTTTAGGTAAGATGACGTGTGCTCCGGTAAACCTTCTGATTCAGTTCTCCGTTTTTCGGCATGTTTTCCGATTTGGACTTCGCCTTTTTGTAACACTGTAACTGTTTCTGGCCCATTAGCCAAAACCCATTACATGGATGATTTTTATTTTATTTTTTAGGTCAAAACATGGATGATAATATATAAAAAATATACACAAATCAAGTTGTGGGTCTTTACATCAAAATACATAGATAATGATAGGCCCAATATCTATGTATTTTGATAAAAAAAAAAATGATAGGCCCAATATATGAAAACCTAATAGCGACATTTTTGTCTATAGGATTAAAAGAAAAACAAATTCCTTTGATATTAAAAGAACAAAAACAAAAAAAAAAAACAAATTTCTTTAAAATGTGTTTTATTCCCTTTCTCTTTGGTTTTCTCAATGTTCAAGAAAGCGCAACGCGCTAAGCAAATGGTGCCTCCAACGCCTAGCGCCTAGAACGCCTAATCAAAGACTATGTGGTTTTAGGTTATGTATACGTTTATAACATAAAATATTATAAATATGATATTACAGATAAAAATCATATAAAACTATATATCTATTAAAAGAATAAAATATTAAATCGTAAACAAAAGTTAGATAAAAACATTTCCGTAATTCATATCAAACAACATATGAATGTTTATAACCATGTATATGGCGATAAAACTTATAAATTTAAATTGATGTAGTTGGACATTTGAAAAATACACTAAAACAAGATTTATTCAATTTTAGGCGGTCACCTAAACACTTACCGTTTGGCGCTCTTTAGAACACTTGTTTTCCTTTACATAGAGAGATAGATGTCTCCAATTGATATCACCATACTGTCCATTTTCGTTATCTTTAGTGTTCATCGAGATCAGTTTACCACTTACACCGAAAAAAGTAAAACAATGTGAAACAACTTGCAAAATGTCAAAAAGAGGGTTTGTAAATTTAGTGGCAATAGAGTTTTATAACTGAGTCAGCCCCTGCAGTGAATAGCCATGGTTGTCTTGGATGAAACTTGCAGTCCAAGACACCTGCAATCAAAACACATAATATATTAATCTCATGAAGAATCAAAACATATGCCTATGACACATATAATAGTGTGATCCTTAAGGATACAAAACGCCATGTAAACTGACCTCCCCCATTTGAAGAAGTAGAATGGCCTCTTAGAATCTCTAACGGCACAATCAGAGGATTCTCATTCAGATCATTATACACCTTTCCATGGAACACATAAGCTGTTGAGTCCTCCGAGGACGAAGCAAACAACGGATACGCACGGTGAAACGCCGCATTAGTAATGTCCTTAGGATGATTCTTGAGAGTCTTGTACGGCTTCGAAGAAAGATCCATGTCAAACCAACACATCTTCCCTCTGTTTCCTACTATCAGATTATCACCACCAGGATGAATCGCCATTGATGAGATTTCCCTCATTCTAGTTTCCAGCTTTTTTACGGGCTCATCTACCTTTAACAGATTGTAAACATGCACGTTCTTTCTTGTCGCGATGAAGAAGTATGAAAGGCTAGGATGAAAAAGAGCAGTCACTGGAAGTCCACAGATCTTGAATGGCTTTTGTGTAAGCTTTTTCGAGATTTGATGAATTACAACACCTCGTGTTTCGCCGGATGCCATGACTGTCGACATATAGTCTCCCTTACGATGCCAGTCAATACTGGATATGTTCTGAAATATATAAACCAAACCAATTAAAGGATTTTTTTTCCCTGTGATAGCTGTTACAAAGGATATTTAGCAAAATGTACCTTAAAATGTCTAATCATGATTCCTCCATATTTCTCATCTTGAAGCCAGCTTGCAATTGCTGCAACTATAGTACAAAATTTACAATGGATTAAATCATTCGGATATCCATCTAAATTTCTGACAAAGTGTTGGTAGGCTACTTACCAGATGCTTTTGGTTCTGGAACGTTTCCTAAGTGAAACAGCTCTTCGATATTTTTCTGTTCCACATCAGTACCAAGTTCAGTGTTAATGATAACCAAATCTCGTCCCCTGCATATGTGAGATGTGATGGTTTCAGAAAGTTATAATAAATCAGAAAACAAACTGCCAGGGTACACACTCACATGGCAATGGCTAAAATCGGAAAGCCGAAAAGAGGATTCCAAGCCACACAGTGAATGGCTTCATCAAATTGCCAGATCTTAAGACATCTACCAGTTTCCACTTCCCATATACGGACGGATCCATCTGTTGAACCTTTGAAGATAGAAAAAAAAAAAAGAAAACAAAAAGGAAGACAAGGTTGGCATCTTGGAAAACGAAAAGAGACCTCAATAAAATTTTGATTAAATGAAATACCTAAGGCTATCCATTGGCCATAACATTCAGTGGATAAGGTAGTAACTTTTCCAGTATAGCCTTTATATTCAAGATAACAGGAGTTTGGATAAGCTCTAAGATCTTTTCTACTAGGTTGCTTAGGCTTCAAAGATTCAGGATCAATGTTTATCTGGAGAAAGGTAACATAGTGGGATTAGATACAGAAAATTAGATAAACCAGAAAATGAGATGATCAAATTAGTCCTCACTCTCTTCTTTCGAACTCTTGCACATAGGTATAGATCCAAACATCGGTCAAAAGACTCTTTTAGTGCATTCCCATATGCTAGAATGCTTCTCAGAGATGTAAACCTACGCACACATTAATTTACCATAAGGCTTAAGCTAACAAATTCCAAAGAAAACTACAACAGAGTATATAAAGCGGTACTTATTTTTTTGGAGTAACTAAGAGGTTCTGAGGCAAGGCCCGTACATCCCCTCAAGCCAGGGACCATATCATTTTATAAAGCGGTACTTTTACATACTTTTTAGGAATGAATTTTGGACGATCTTCCTCACATAACAAGTCACATGAGGCTTGCTCTTCCTCTGTTAGAATGTATTCCAAAGAAGGATTGTATTATTCCTCGTGTCCTGGAAAGCCAAATTGCAAAGATTAAACCTTCATAAATACAATTCCAAGACAGAAGCAGATAAATAGATGGCAAGCCAAAAAGTTTCACCTGGTAATTTATGTTTCGGTGGAGGAATATAAGTTAATTGCTTGCTCTTTTGACCTGAAGTTGAATCATCACCCCATAAGAGGTATACATTTGGCACTTCTCCAGGCTTAGAAAACTTGATCAACCCCTTCCGGATTGCTATAACAAACTTAGCAACCATTTTAGCCTCGCATTTTGAAGGGATGTACCTACGCTTGGGTTCCGGTGCACTTGAGAGTGGATGTCTTGCATCAGCCCATTTGAACCAATCAACATAAGGCTGGCACCAAGAGAATCAATCAGAAGGTCACATTTTGTATAATATATTAGTAGAAAACGGCTAGACATAAACCACATTACGTACCGGACATGAATCGAAGTCAGCATGTGGCGCTTTCCCTTTGAGAATTCTACGCATGAGCTTTATATCCTCTTTAGTCAGCTCCACTTCCTCGTCATTATATTCATCGTAAATCTTGCACCTAAAGCCCCACAAATTGCATAACCATAATGCTACTAAATAACAGACAATATATACAAATAAACAGAAACTGACCAATTCTTGGAGTAATCCCTAGTTGCAAGAAAAGAGTTAATTATATCTCCCGTTTCTTTCTTGGTAATCTTCTTCCCAAAGATGTCATAACCAATATGTGTCTCATCCTTATACCATTCCAAGGGAACATTGCCAACTGTATTTCTTGGAGGAACCTACACATCAATATATATATATATATATAGTTTTGTTTGGGAATCGAGAAAGATAGTTTCAAATTCTATAATGAATAGATAAAGCATGCATCAACCTCATCTTCTGAAGAATCGCTCTCTTCATCTTGCTCAGAACTTTGGTCACTCCCATCATCCTCACCATCTAGTTGTTCACTTTCATAATCATCTGATCCCTCATGACCTAATAATACATGTAGATGCCGGTACAGTTACTCTCTCTTACTTGCAAAATCGAGAGCATGAACCTTACAAGTTCAAATTAAAGATGAGCTGAACCAGAGGAAAATTACAAGCAAGCAATTACCATCGACCGATGATTCTCTCTCTCCATCATCTGTTGAAAGAAGAGGTATCGTTGTTTGATACACCTGTTGTTGTCGATATTCTCCAAGTGAATTCCACTATTCTTTTAATGCGCCTGAAAGTCTTGATGTGAATTGTTGTATCACCACATCTGTTGGGGATGTGATTGCTTCTGAGGTCATCCACGCATGAAATTCGTCAAGACGACTATTCCATTTTTCAAAAGGAATGTCATCAAATGTGAATACCATTATCTTTGATGCAAATTGCTTCTTTGGTACACCTTGCGTTTCATAGCCCATCTCGTCGTCACTTGAAATTACTTCATAGATTGGTTCTTCTTTTGGAATATGTGACTCTTCTCCTATCGCAAACTGATTTGGAAGAGATTCATCTGTTTCTGATTCATTGGCGGAAGAGGTTGAATCTGAAAGAGCTGAAATGTGATTCATTGTAACGATTGGTTGTGGTTGCTGCTCTTTTGATTGAATTTGCAATTTTTGTCTTTCGTCGTCAGATGTCCTCGCAAGATTGCCTAGTAAATTAGACATTGAAAACTCGATCATCGCAATATCTTCCTTCTTTGCAACATCCTCTTTCTTTTCATCTTGAACGGACTCATGGCTTGAAGAAGATGCTAGACTTGGCTTCTTGGATGGATTAGTTTGAAATTCAGAATCCTTTTGACGCCTTGGTTTAGTTCTTGCCACTTTTGTTTTAAAATTGCTGATTGAAGTTGTACCGAACCGAGATGTAAAAGCTTCATCAGAGGATAAGAATCCAGGTACATGCTGTTTCGGTCTTGGATCTTGATAACCAGACAGAAACCCTGGGGAATACGATTCTTGATATGTGGATATTCCGGATGACATATAGTCAAAAGGATTATACACATTAACTCGCCTCTGATTTTGGATTAGACTATCTAGGCTCCTTTGAAGGTCTTTGAGTTTATATTTGAGATTGGTTTGTTCAGCTTCTTTACTTCTGAACTAAGATGTATCAACTTTCATTTGTTTTGCCATAGCCATCATTTCATGGTGCAAGTTGCTGAGTTTCTGTTGAATCTCCGATATGGCTCCTTGCAGACTGTTAAGTCTTCTATTGTTGTTTTCCGACATTTGATCAATCTTGTGGCTAATGGATGACAGTAATTGATTCTGAACAAAGGCATTTTCTGTTTGCCAGTTGAGAACCTTCTCTGCTTGGCTTAATTCGTCGGGTCCAGAAGAGTTGATGTTGTTTGGAACGTTCTTTGGTGTATGCACAATATTGTCCTTGACAAAGTCTTTTGGTGGAGGAAAATCCATCTTTATCATCATGATTTGTTGGTTTGATTCATCCTCCTTTGTTGAATACTCGACTATAAAGTCGTAGTTGTCGTTACCAAGTGGACCTACTGTAGGATCTCCTTCAAGGTAGCGTCTATAAAGTGGATCCTTCTTTTTTCTTCGTCTTCTTCGCTTTTCTTCATCTGATTCATAAGAATCTTCTATACAAGCGGTGCATGAGCAGACATCGAAGTAACAATGTCCGTTCTCATCTTTGAATGGATATATAACAGTTCCATTTTGACTAAAAGCGATTGGTTGAAGATCTTTCTTCTTTACTGGATCATAGAAATCTTGCTCCTCGATTTGGATAGTGAATTGAGTAAAGAGTTTCTTTTGAAAAGATGATCTTGGCTTTTCGAACTTTATCTCCGTGGTTCCATCGCTTATAGAGTGAAAGCTTACTTCAGATGACTGGATCGGTGCTTGAGATGCTTGATGTATCTTTTCATAGCTTGTTACCCATGACTCCGGCAGTTTTCGCAGCAATTCTTCTCGAGATATCTGTCTTGGGATTTGAATAGAGTTGGGTGCTTGTGATGCCGATGTGACTTCAAGATATAAAGCCTCGTCTGATGCTGGTAATGCAAGATCAAGAGCATGATCTTGAATTCTGTATACAATCTGATGATGTAGAGTTGCTGCCACACTTTCTTCTTGCATAGGTACTCCGATTAGTTGTAATTGAACTTTAAGCGCCTTTAGGAGATTTGGATCTTTAGAGAAACATTGAAGTTTGGAAACAGTGTTATAAATACTGTTCATGCGTTCAGCGTTGTTTGTACTGTTCCGATCAAGCTTGTTGATAGGATTTGAGCCTTGAGTCAAGCAAAGCTATCCGTGCTACAACCGGTAAGCCTTTTCGTGCATGTAAGGTTAAACCAATTCTTACTACACCAAAGTGCAGATGAGTATAGCCCTGTTGCTGCCATAGCCTTGGTAGATGCTCCGAAATATTTAGCGAGATGAATTGTTCTTCTTCGGTGGCTGGAACTTGACATGATGAAAACTTGCTGGATTGTACGTACTCTAAAACTCGTCGGCTGGAAGATGGTTTGATGAGCTCACGAACACCTTTTACTGAAAAAGCACTAGGCTTTTTAGCAAAGTACTCATAAGGATTAACCAACGGGAGGGTTGTTTCCGGCAATTGATCTCCGGAAACATATTCAATTTCATACAAGGAATTTATTTTAGAAAGGGAATTATTTTTTTGGTTTTTTGGTAAAGTAGAGATAGCAAATTGAGAATCTATTGAAGGATTTAACTGAAGAGGTTTTGAAGGCTTTGAAAGAGACATGATTGAGGGTTTGTTTTCCAGAACATTCAAAACGATCAGTCATAAACAATGATCCACTCTATCTTAACACGAGTCTTTGGCTCTGATACCATAATCTTAAAGCTAGCATGAGCGGAGGGTCGTGTTGACTAAGTCTAGACGACGAGTCGTATTGACAAGCTAGGGTTCATATTCCAGGTAAAGGGAGCGGTTCGGGCCTCATTGCCATCTGTGTTGCTCAACCTACTATTAGGAACTTTGAATCCCGGCGAATACTATTGACTGCCGTGTTCGACCGTCGTATTGACGGACCACTTATGCTAACTTTAAGAAAAGATACAGAATCGCGACTGTGTTTAGAATAGAAAGAAACAAGGTTTATGAAGAAGTTAGGAAGTCTGGAAAACTTTAGAGAGATGTTAGAGAGACATTAGAGAGAGAGAGAGAGCTATTATGAAATTTTTGATATTTCAAGTTGTGTCTTCTTACAAGGGGTGCACACATATTTATAGGAGGATTTAAGGCGCTAACATAAGCGCTTACCTCAGCGATTACATCATCGCTTACATCATTGCTTACATAATCATTACATCATTGCTTACATCATACCACAAACCCCCCCCCCCCTTTGGTCTCAAGACGGCGCCATCACTATTTCAACAAGCAGTGTTACATATATTCAAGCCATTGTTACACACAGCTCTTATATACATTGACGACATACTCATATCCTCAAAAAATGAAGAAGAGTATATTCAGGCGCTATAACAGTTTCAAGACATTGTCAAGAAGAACGGAATCATGCTATCAGCCAGAAAGATAATAATAGCCCAGCCCAACATTGATTTTCTTGGTATGCATATCAAAGAAGGAAGTTTCATACCACAAGCCCATGTAGCTACAGAACTTATAGATTTTCCCGATGAAAATCTTACAAGGCGACAAATTCAACAATTTCTTGGCGTAATCAATTATGTAGGAGACTTCATTCCACACCTTTCCAGAATGACGAGACCTCTACAGAAAATGTTGTCGAAAAACCCTCCTTTGTGGGCATCACGACAAACTGAAGCTATCAAAAGTCTAAAAGCAGAAGTGCAATAGCTGCCCCCTTTAAAGATTCTTTCCTCAGGCATGCATATTCTATAGACAGACGCTAGTGATAAGTATTGGCGAGCAATACTGTTTGAAGAGATGGATGGGAAAAGACAAATCTGTGGATACAAGAGTGGTCGTTTCAAAGATTCAGAGCAACATTATCACTCAACTTTCAAGGAGATTTTAGCGGTCAAACGGGCTATCGAGAGGTTTGAATTTCATCTAATAGGACACAGGTTTCGTATAGAAATGGATATGTCTTCATTTCCCAAGATGTTACAGTTTAAGCAGAAGATGGTCCCGCATCAACAGCTACTAAGATGGGTGAATGGTTCTCAAAGTACGATTTCGAGTCAGTCTATTTAAAGGGCACCAAGAACACTTTAGCAGACATGCTTAGCCGAAACCCAGTAAAACAAGAAACGCCCTACGAGATACACATGATGGCCAATTCCTCCGAATCCAAAACGAGCTACTATGACTTTGAAGCCGACGTACCCGAAGATGTTCATCAACTCATCAGCAGAAACAAGCTTCATGAACTATTGCACACAAAGATCTTTTCATACCAATCTACAATCCTGTCTAACTATGGAGTAAACTGTCACCACATTGCTCCAATAGGAATTCATCTTGACTATCCGTTCACATCTCTACAGGATCGAGAATTCAAACATGCCAGAAGAAGTCCTCTGTTTCCTTTGGTATCTCTGTGTTGTCTACACTGTAGGAATTGCTTTCGACATCCAGTGGCTATACCATTACGTCAACACTATTCAAGACAAAAGAGACTGTTTCTCAACATTCCTAAGGTGGTTTTCACCATTGACTGTCTGGAGTGGAAAACTACAAAAATCCGCAAAAGCAACGAATCTAACATTCAAGAAGCTGAAAAGAGGTGGACTCAACCCGTTCTTCAATCCACATTCAATCTACTTCTTTCATCGTCCCATTAAGGTCAACCGCAAAACAAGCAAAATTCTCGCTCTTCCAAATCTCATTCATCACGGTGATTTTTCAAGAGGAGTTCGTCCAGTTTTCAACCTTCAAGATAACGAAGCATATGAAAACTTCCAAACTCATGCGTTTCACCTCAACAATGCAAGAAATATCTTTCCTATTCCGCTCATTCCCACCTGGGTTCACTATCCGGTCGATTATCAGATGCAACTTGATGAAGATTTACAGTATTACATGATGAAGTTTGACAGAGGAAGACCAAACAGTTCAAAAGAAGAAACAACTTCCCAGGCGACTTCTCAAGATTACTATGCTGATCACCTTAAGGACGCTCAATCTCCAGATGCTGAAATAAATGTTGAAGATATCGAAGAAAAGTTCAAATTCTGCATAAATGTTCAACCAGGAGAAGATGCACGAATGATTGAGGACTCGTATGAATGTCCAGATGATCATTATGGATGCTGCGAAGAACATATGTTAGAATTCGAAATGGATCATTAAAAGGTATGGAAAATATAAAATAAAAAAATATATATAATATGTATAATGTGTTTAAAATCATGTAAAATAAATAATGATGTAAGCGATGATGTAATCGCTGATGTAATGATGATGTAAGCAATGATGTAAGCGATGATGTAATCGCTGAGGTAAGCGCTTATGTCAGCACCTTAAATCCTCCTATAAATATGTGTGCACCCCTTGTAAGAAGACACAACTTGAAATATCAAAAATTTCATAATAACTCTATCTCTCTAATGTCTCTCAAACTTCTCTCTAAAGTTTTCTAGACTTCCTAACTTCTTCATAAACCTTGTTTCTTTCTATTCTAAACACAGTCGCGATTCTGTATCTTTTCTTAAAGTTAGCATAAGTGGTCCGTCAATACGACGGTCGAACACGGCAGTCAATAGTATTCGCCGGGATTCAAAGTTCCTAATAGTAGGTTGAGCAACACAGATGGCAATGAGGCCCAAACCGCTCCCTTTACCTGGAATATGAACCCTAGCTTGTCAATACGACTAGTCGTCTAGACTTAGTCAACACGACCCTCGACTCGTGCTAGCTTTAAGATTATGCTATCAGAGCCAAAGACTCGTGTTAAGATAGAGTGAATCATTGTTTATGATTGATCATTTTGAATGTTCTGGAAAACAAACCCTCAATCATGTCTCTTTCAAAGCCTTCAAAACCTCTTCAG